AGGATACCCAAAGGAAACTGTTGGGTACACCTTCTATCACAGATCTGAAGGCAAGACATTCGTTGCAAAGAATGGATCATTTCTAGAGAAGGAGTTTCTCTCGAAAGAAGTGAGTGGGAGGAAAGTAGAACTTGACGAGGTAACTGTACCCGCTCCCTTACTGGAAAGTAGTTCATCACAGAAAACTGTTTCAGTGACACCTACACCAGTTAGTGAGGAAGCCAATGATAATGATCATGAAACTTCAGATCAAGATACTGCTGAACCTCGTAGATCAACCAGAGTAAGATCCGCACCAGAGTGGTACGGTAATCCTGTTCTGGAGGTCATGCTACTAGATCATGATGAACCTACGAACTATGAAGAAGCGATGGTGAGCCCAGATTCCGCAAAGTGGCTTGAAGCCATGAAATCTGAGATGGGATCCATGTATGAGAACAAAGTATGGACTTTGGTTGACTTGCCCGATGATCGGCAAGCAATTGAGAATAAATGGATCTTTAAGAAGAAGACTGACGCTGATGGTAATGTTACTGTCTACAAAGCTCGACTTGTCGCAAAAGGTTTTCGGCAAGTTCAAGGGATTGACTACGATGAGACCTTCTCACCCATAGCGATGCTTAAGTCCGTCCGAATCATGTTAGCAATTGCCGCATTTTATGATTATGAAATTTGGCAAATGGATGTCAAAATTGCATTCCTGAATGGATTTCTGGAAGAAGAGTTGTATATGATGCAACCAGAAGGTTTTGTCGATCCAAAGGGAGCTAACAAAGTGTGCAAGCTCCAGCGATCCATTTATGGACTGGTGCAAGCCTCTCGGAGTTGGAATAAACGTTTTGATAGTGTGATCAAAGCATTTGGTTTTATACAGACTTTCGGAGAAGCCTGTATTTACAAGAAAGTGAGTGGGAGCTCTGTAGCATTTCTGATATTATATGTGGATGACATATTACTGATTGGAAATGATATAGAATTTCTGGATAGCATAAAGGGATACTTGAATAAAAGTTTTTCAATGAAAGACCTCGGTGAAGCTGCTTACATATTAGGCATTAAGATCTATAGAGATAGATCAAGACGCTTAATTGGACTTTCACAAAGCACATACCTTGACAAGATTTTGAAGAAATTCAAAATGGATCAAGCAAAGAAAGGATTCTTGCCTGTATTACAAGGTGTGAAATTGAGTAAGACTCAATGCCCGACCACTGCAGAAGATAGAGAGAATATGAAAGATGTTCCCTATGCATCAGCCATAGGCTCTATCATGTATGCAATGCTGTGTACCAGACCTGATGTACCAAAGTAATCCAGGAGTGGATCACTGGACAGCGGTCAAGAACATCCTGAAATACCTGAAAAGGACTAAGGATATGTTTCTCGTATATGGAGGTGACAAAGAGCTCATCGTAAAAGGTTACGTTGATGCAAGCTTTGACACTGATCCGGACGATTCTAAATCGCAAACCGGATACGTGTTTACATTAAACGGTGGAGCTGTCAGTTGGTGCAGTTCTAAACAAAGCGTCGTAGCGGGATCTACATGTGAAGCGGAATACATAGCTGCTTCGGAAGCAGCAAATGAAGGAGTCTGGATGAAGGAGTTCATATCCGATCTAGGTGTCATACCTAGTGCATCGGGTCCAATGAAAATCTTTTGTGACAATACTGGTGCAATTGCCTTGGCAAAGGAATCCAGATTTCACAAAAGGACCAAACACATCAAGAGACGCTTCAACTCCATCTGGGATCTAGTCCAGGTGGGAGACATAGAGATTTGCAAGATACATACGGATCTGAATGTTGCAGACCCGTTGACTAAGCCTCTTCCACGAGCAAAACATGATCAGCACCAAAGCTCCATGGGTGTTAGATTCATTACAGTGTAATCTAGATTATTGACTCTAGTGCAAGTGGGAGACTGAAGGAAATATGCCCTAGAGGCAAAAATAAAGTTATTATTTATTTCCTTATAATCATGATAAATGTTTATTATTCATGCTAGAATTGTATTTACCGGAAACATAATACATGTGTGAATACATAGACAAACAGAGTGTCACTAGTATGCCTCTACTTGACTAGCTCGTTAATCAAAGATGGTTATGTTTCCTAACCATGAACAATGAGTTGTTATTTGATTAACGAGGTCACATCATTAGTAGAATGATCTGATTGACATGACCCATTCCATTAGCTTAGCACCCGATCGTTTAGTATGTTGCTATTGCTTTCTTCATGACTTATACATGTTCCTATGACTATGAGATTATGCAACTCCCGTTTACCGGAGGAACACTTTGGGTACTACCAAACGTCACAACGTAACTGGGTGATTATAAAGGAGTACTACAGGTGTCTCCAATGGTCGATGTTGGGTTGGCGTATTTCGAGATTAGGATTTGTCACTCCGATTGTCGGAGAGGTATCTCTGGGCCCTCTCGGTAATACACATCACATAAGCCTTGCAAGCATTACAACTAATATGTTAGTTGTGAGATGATGTATTACGGAACGAGTAAAGACTCTTGCCAGTAACGAGATTGAACTAGGTATTGGATACCGACGATCGAATCTCGGGCAAGTAACATACCGATGACAAAGGAAACAACGTATGTTGTTATGCGGTCTAACCGATAAAGATCTTCGTAGAATATGTAGGAGCCAATATGGGCATCCAGGTCCCGCTATTGGTTATTGACCGGAGATGTGTCTCGGTCATGTCTACATTGTTCTCGAACCCGTAGGGTCCGCACGCTTAAGGTTACGATGACAGTTATATTATGAGTTTATGCATTTTGATGTACCGAAGGTTGTTCGGAGTCCCGGATGTGATCACGGACATGACGAGGAGTCTCGAAATGGTCGAGACGTAAAGATTGATATATTGGAAGCCTATATTTGGATATCGGAAGTGTTCCGGGTGAAATCGGGATTTTACCGGAATACCGGGAGGGTTACCGGAACCCCCCGGGAGCTATTTGGGCCATAGTGGGCCTTAGTGGAAAAGAGAAGGGGCTGCCCTAGTTGGGCTGCGCCCCCCCCCCTTCCCCTAGTCCTATTAGGACTAGGAGAGGTGGCCGGCCCCCTCCTCCTCTTTTCCCCTCCGAGGAATCCTAGTTGGACTAGGATTGGAGGGGGAATCCTACTCCCAGAGGGAGTAGGACTCTCCTGCGCCTCCCCCCCTTGGCCGGCCAGCCTCCCCTCCTCTCCTCCTTTATATACGGAGGCAGGGGCACCTCTAAACAATCAAGTTGACACAAGTTGATCCACGTGATCGATTCCTTAGCCGTGTGCGGTGCCCCCTCCACCATATTCCTCGATAATACTGTAGCGGAGTTTAGGCGAAGCCTTGCTGCTGTAGTTCATCAAGATCGTCACCACGCCGTCGTGCTGACGAAACTCTTCCCCGACACTTTGCTGGATCGGAGTCCGGGGATCGTCATCGAGCTGAACGTGTGCTCGAACTCGGAGGTGCCGTAGTTTCGGTGCTTGATCGATTGGATCGAGAAGACGTACGACTACTTCCTCTACGTCGTGTCATCGCTTCCGCAGTCGGTCTGCGTTGGGTACGTAGACAATACTCTCCCCTCGTTGCTATGCATCACATGATCTTGCGTGTGCGTAGGAAATTTTTTGAAATTACTACGAAACCCAACAGTCCAGGTGTCCCCTGGTCGGATGGTGGAGCCACGCCGCTTCAACCCGCACGTGGACCGGTCGCCTGGTCCGGTTGCTCCGCGCCGCGCGAGATAAACTCCCCATGGGACCCACATGTCATAGAGGATTAGGCAGTTCCCCAGCATATTAGCCGTCATGCGTAGTGGGCGGCGGTTTCAAATTTCGTGCCATTACCCCGTCCATCCCCCGCCTATCGCGGCCCATTCCTCCTTTTTCCCCCTTGCTTTCGCCATTAGTTGGTGCTCGGAGGCGGTTCCAAATCCGCCGGGTTGTGGTTGGCGGCGCGGCGCGCTGCGAGGGTCCTCGTCCGCGGCGGCACAGGTACTGCTCCTACGTGCGTTCCCCGTTCTTCGTCCCTGCTTGTTTCTCCACTCGTCCGCCCTCCTTTTTTTCGGTGAGATCATACATTTTCCGGTGAGGTCGCGGTTGTTGTCAGGGAGGTCGAGGTAGAGGTCAAACTCGAGGTCGCGGTCGGGGTTAGGGAGGTGGAAATCATTTTCCGGCGAGGTTGAGGTCACCCCCGCGGACTACTTCGTTTGGGAAACCGTCGGATTGGCAGGGGTGGGCTAGGGTCGTGCTCATCCCGTCGTTTTTGCATTGCAATAGGGGAAACCTTTCTCCAGACACTTGAAACACCGATCCCTCATCTCCGGCGCGACCTCTCTACGGCCCTACGAGGCACGACGCAGGGCCACCTCCGGCTGCCCGGCCTCCCTGCGACGCTTCTAGAGGGTCCGCTTCGAGACCGGGGCCTCCTGCCATGGCACGACGCGCCGGGAAGACGTCGCCAAGAGAGCCTCCGCCGTCGCCCCCGCAGGGGCCTCCGCCGTGGCCGAGCTCTCGTACGCCGACGAGCGGCCGTGGTCGGAGACCACGGGCGCTCCCCATGTCACGAGGAGGAGATCTGGTGACCTCGATGGAGCGACCCCTACGAGCGCCGAGGACGGGTGGCCGCTGATGCCGGAGCGGCAGGCGGTGGGAAGGTGGAAGCCGACACTGGAGTAGCGCACGACGGGGAGGGGGTGGGAGGAGGGGGTGCTCGCTCGGCTATGGCGAGTCGTACGGAGCAACTTCTCCATTTCATGATGAATATAATAACGTTGATTTGATATTATGGATATTGATATATTTATGTACAAGTTTGGTGAAACTTTATAGGAATCAATTCCTACAAACCAAAGAGCTCCAAAGAAAATTTTGCTACAAAATTCCTATCCTTTAAAATTGTCACAAAATTCCGAGAAGGGAGTAGAATTTAATGTCACAACTTAATGATCATTGTAAATGTAATTTTTGCCGTTGTCAAAATAGAATGTTCACCAGGAGCTGATCTTGACATAACCAGACAAATGATTGTTTAAGAAAGAAACAAAGAAAGCACGGCCCATGTATTTTTGTACAACACTGATAGAATGTTTCATCAACTGAAGAAGGTACACGAAATACACTTGTATTTTTAAAGCCTGCATGGCCAGGCACCACCATTTAATTTTATGGCAACGGCTGCAGAGCTTCTTCACACTTAACTGAACCGTGGAGGGAACTTTCTCCACGACATATTTACCAATTGCCCACAGCCCTTTGTGGGCGTGCTTGATGATACTCCTGCTTTTTGGGTTGCATTCACCCTTTTTTCCGACACAAGACCTATCAGCGTCCCCATAACTACTATTATCGTATATGGCGTCCAACGTAAGGCGCTCGAGTGAAGTTGCATTCTCAAGAATATGGCAAGTTAGTTCGACCATGCTCTTTGCAGAGCAGAAGCCCATTATCCTGACGTTCTTGAGGTTGCAATGGCGATGTCCCAGCATCTGTCTCATGTTCGAGTCTTCATCACAAATCAATTCATGCTTTACTCGAGTCTGTGATACCTGCATCCATAGGAACAAAACACATGCTAGAGTTAAATGGTTCCACACCATGCAGATACTTGATATCATGGTTGCAAGCTAGAGGACAAGTGACTTGCACCCAACACAAACTTCTCCACGACAGGACACGCATCCAGGAAATAAGCTAGAGAAAAATAATCATAGGCTGGGGAAAAGCCCCCCATCTGTAGATCATTAAGATCAATCCGCAGCTTCTTCAGGTAGAGGAATTTGACAGCTAAGATTGGTGTGCTGAGCATCTGCACACACATCTAGGTTAAATGCTTTCTTCCCTAAAAATAGGTTAAACTTAACCAATGGCACGACTACTGCTATCACAAAATAATGCCTGCATCTGACAATCAAATCTACTGCCGGTCATCCTTCCAAAAACAATAAATAATAAATGGAAAAACCCAAAGTTTGAGAATATACCTCTCCAGCCGAAGATAGGCCGAGGGTTTCAAGATTTGGCATGATGAATGGAAGCTTGGAACAAGCATAATGAACAAGGTCACATTCGTAGTAATCCAACATTTGCAGTTCCTTCACCTGCAACAAATCTCCAACCAGACGTTCCTCTAGGGCGCCATCGATGCGGACAAGGCAAACATTTGGTGCTTTATTCTCTATCACTTGCAGAGCTGTGCAATTAAACACTGACAGGCTGTTGAGCCGATGTAGCAGGCAAGATATCTTGAGGTGAATGATCTTACCACAACCATTGAGAGTCAGCTCCTCCATAGCAAGAGAATTGGACAGAAGGTGCCCTAACTCATCTCCCGTGATGTGCACCTGAGACAGATGGAGCCTTGTCAAGCAACCAAGTCCTGCCGTGGGATGGAAGGCACGACGGCTAAGGTGAAGATGTCGAATTGAGTTTCCACTCCCACTGAATAAAACTGAGCATGGGAAGCCGTAATAAACTGCGTTGCATCCTAGAGGCATTGAAAGTTTGACTTCTTCAATCCCTGGAGTAACAGCACTGTCAAGCCACCTGTTGAGACAGCTGGTGTCGAAAGAAGAACCACAATAATCAAGCTTGAATGTCTTCAAGCCACCTGAGTGATTTTCCATAATGCAGTCAACTCTGTTGGTGAAAATCCGTGCCAGTTCATCTTGTCCACATGCATTTCCATTCAGGCCCAGTGTTTCCTTGCTTAAGGTGAGGTTGGGATGGGATCTCCAGGAGCTTAGAAATGTGTGAGACACACAGCCAGCTCGGGCAGCATCTGACAGCGGCAGCAGGGACAGTATATCATGCCAGATGTCCTGCAAACACAAGAATAGAAGAAACGTTAACACCAGAATTGTATAGGCAAGTGGATCCATTAACAAGGAGGGAAAGTAGGACCATATGTAGTAGCATTACGTGACAGGTGCTCTCTGCAAAGGTCTGCTGTGTTATTACAGAGTTATAACTAGCACCACACAATGCGATTGCGCTAGCTAAATTATTTACATTACATCAAGTGGTTTTCCTTGACAGTATCATTAGTGGCCTTCCTAACAAGTGTGACCTGTTTTATTCGCTAAGCAGAGGCATTACTAGTTCCTAAAAGGCATAACATGGAAACTGATGCTCTAGTGGGAATTATGAAACTACGACAAAATATGCAGAAGCACTACATCTATTTTTTTCCACGTGAAACATGTGGTTGCAGTAATAACTTCAACAATGTAGTCAAATATCACACTTGTGCTCAGGTTTATGAAAACTGACAACTTGTGCCCGTTCTTGCAGTTCTGAAATTCTGAAAGTGCGTACTCATATGCTTCTAGGCTCGCTAAGAAGGTAGGGGAGGATTTCTTTGTAAAGTACCTCTAGATAGGCTTCTTAACATGCCTTTTTTTTTCTCTTCAGTGACCAAGATTTAATTGAAATTCTTTAACTTGTTGGCTTTGAGTTCGTATTCAGAAAAGGTCAAACTAGAGACCGTCAGCTAACCAGCAAGAATGAAACTGAAATGAGACTGGCAGTAAATGTTTGGCCAGGAGGCGAATCATGCAAAGAAGCATACATAAGATAGCAAGAAGGCTTCAGAGAATGTTGGAGGAAAGACCATTCAAGTGACATGGAAAAAAGAAAGAAAAGAGAAGTTCTCGTTCCAAAGGCAAGAGAATTACTCCCTTCGTTCCATATTAGTTGTCGCTGAAACAGATGTATATAGCTCTGTTTTTAAGGCGTCTGTGAAGCGTCGCTTAGGCGACGCCTTAGCGTCGGGGCGCCCTCCGATGGCAAGGCGTCGAACCTGCCTTACACATCGTCGTAAAGCGTCCGCTTTAGATCCTAGGGCGTCTGAATCGTCCGCCTAGGCGCGTAGGGCGGCGCCTTGGGCCAGATCGGACGCCATGGGCTGCTTCCAGGCGGGAAAGAGTGGCCCACGCGGGAAGCTTTCGCGGGCTTTCGCTGGAAATATTGGGCTCGCGCGCGAGTGCGAACAGGTATAAGGCGAAGGGCGGGACAGAGAGGATCGAACCAATCGTCCAATCCACCCGATAGGGTTTCCTTCTCTCCTCTCTGACCTTTGGCGGCGGCTCCTTCCTCTACAGCTCCGATCTGTGCCCCTCCTCGCCGGGCTCAGCTCTCCCTCCAACTCTGGCGCAACAGCAAGGTGTGGCTCCCGTTCCATCTCACTTCTATCCTGGCCTCCTCTGAATTTTCTTCTACCCCTCCTAGTACTTTGTTTCTTCCTGCATTGTAGGTAGATCTGTAGATGTGCTTGGCTGCTTGCCTGCTCCTCCTCTGCATCTGTTTGCTCCCAAATCTGCTTCTCCATCCACAAGGCAGCAACCCCACCATCGCTTCTCTCCTTCCCCATGCTTGTCTGCTTGCTCTAGTGATTTGGCTCTTCTCTCTTTGACGGTTGATTGGGTCTTTTCTCAGTGTTGCTGCAGCAGCGAGGTGGCCCTGCTCTGATGGATCCTAGGAGAAGAGCTACATCAGATGATCCAGTTTGGAAGTATGGGTTCTGGCCAGATTTAGAGAGGAAAGATTTACTCCAGTGTACATTGTGTGGCAAGATAGTCCATGCTGGAGTGAGAAGGCTGAAGCAGCACCTTTCTGGGGGTTGTAGTGATGCAGATATGTGTCCCGAGGCATCTATGGAGATTAGGATAGAGATGCGCAAATCCTTAAACACTAGAAAGTTTAAAGCTATGGAGCGATATATTGATGAGAAGGATGAAGCTGAAGTTCAAAGGCGCCGTTCTGTCATATACAGAAGATGATTTGAGGCCTATGATTTGGCAACAACTAATTATGTTACTGTTAGTTGTTAAATTTCCTAAATGGCTGCCATCTGTTATATATGTATGTACAATTTATGATGTCAATGCTAGTAGTTAAATCTCCTAATTGGCTGCCATCTATTATATATGTATGTGTCTAAGGCGTCGCCTCGCCTTATGCCTTACCGCTTAGGCAGTGAGGCGCCCCCCCAGCGCCTCGCCTCGCCTTACCGCCTTAAAAACATAGGTATATAGACATACTTCAGTGCTAGATACATCCGTTTGAGTGACAACTAATATGGAATGGAGGGATTACCTCATAGAGACGTGTGAATTTAAGAAGGAAGAATTGGACTTAGGATTGGCAAAAGCTTTGGCTTACATAATCTAGGAAACGAATTTGGCCTGTTCCTTCAATTAGGACTGTCTTGTCTTCAGACAAATAATCGAGTCCTCAGAAAGAATCTGCAAAGCGAGCTAGTTAGGCTAGAAAAGAGAAATGCATGCATGCCACTGCGAATTTGCGATCATGGCTGAACTGTTTCCTGCGACAAGGACCAGATACAAGGTTTTAGTGAGGTGACAAACCAATCTATTCAGGATGTGGAACCCATCTATTCAGAATGTTGAAGGGGTAGCGCAATTAAAGTAATGATATGAACCATATGACGACTCTGGAGAAACGCATGGAGCAAGTGTTCCCTCCTTGTGGTATATATATTTTATTTATTTAGATAATTCTAATGTCTCTTATGACTTTGGTAATTAATAAAACAAGCTGTAGCAGCATAATGAATGTGGCTACCTGTCTGTGTGTCCATCTTTTTACAACTATTCTTTTTAACATAAAGACAGTAGACATGATTGTAGCAAGACAAAAGGGTTATATATTACACGAGTGTCTAGTACATCAGCGCCCCCAACAAACTACACAACCAATGGAATGATAACAGTTAGCGAAGGCTTTGCCCTATGAGAAAACATCATCAAGTCTTGCTTGAATCTTGTAATCCAGGAGCGATGGGAGGGGACGATCCCTTCAGAGATTTGTCATTTCATTCTTTCCAAATACTCAAAGCTGCCACAACAAATATCTCCATGAACGAAGGGCGGGACCAACCCTGCCTCCAGGAGTGGATGAGGTGCAGTCTATCACCACCAGCAGCCCAGGACATATTGATAGATGCCCAGCAAGCAGTGCTAAATGGACAGTGAAAAAAGAGACGATCCACCTTTTATTCGTCCGCAAGGGTGCACAATGTGCAATTAACATCATTCCCAACATTATAATGCCTTCTCTGAAGCATGTTTCTAGTATTAAGGCGGTCAGCAAGCAAAACCCAGACAAAAACCTTGAGCTTCATAGTGCATTTGAATTTCAATCCATCCACAGGCCGCTTCAGCCAGCAGGTATTTTGAAGAATAATCTGTAAAATTTTGCCGACGTGTAGATAGGCCCCCACAAACACGTCCAGCGATCAGCAGTTGCACCATCAAGTGTGACTGACGCTGTTAATGCTTGCAACTCTCGGACTTCCTGGTGAGCTTGAGCAGACAAAGGCAGATGGAATCCAACTTGCAGATCAGTCATGCACAAGAAGTCCCAGACCGAGGTATCTTCTTGCAAAGAGAAAGAGAGTGGGATTCTGCCAGGATCGTGGTTTGCCAGGAGTGTTTTCAAAAGAGCACAGCCAAGCCATCTCCAATATCAGCCCTTGAAATGTCCTGCTAGATGTCATTAAGCGGGAATGCATCTTGCCGCCAGAAGGACCTGCATGGGCAGAAGCGTGGGGGCATCACTACCATAGTACGTTAGACCAGATAAGGTTGATCCAGGGCACGCCATGCTTGTTATAGAAGTGATGGAGATGTTTGAGAAGTAGCCTTGTGTTCTGCATCTTGATATCAGAATTCCTAGGCCTCGACGACTTGGTGACACACGAGATCCCAGGCAGCAAGCAAATTGGATTTCCCCCCTTGTTCAGATTTCTTGCTCCAAAGACATCGGCGTCTGATTTTATCAAATTGCTCAACCAACTTGGAAGGTATCTTGGTGATGCATGTGGGGTATATTGCAATGGAGGTGAGGACTGAACTGAGCAAAGCTTGCTAGCATAGGAGAGCAAGGACAGCGTCTACCTCAGCCTGCGTTCAACTCGATCAACCAACTACATCAAATCAGCAACAGAGGGGCGCGTCGTCCCCATCGGAAGGCCCAGGTATGTGAACGGCATTGTACCAACAGTGCAGTGGAAAATCGTGGCCAGTTCCGGTCCGTGGTAGTCTGATCCAAAATATTTATGGGTGCCAAAATTGATCTCTGAAAGTTGATCTTGAGACCGACAGACGCATAATCCACGAGCAACACCTTCATGAGCGTAGCCTCTATGACACATGCTGGCATGGCTAAGATCGTAATCCACTGCGGCTAGCACAAATATGAGTAATGACAAGGGGTCACCCTGTCATACACTTCTATGGCAGGCAAATTGACCCCCAGGGAGACCATTGGGTAATACCGAGGCGAGAGATTGGAAGATCCATTTGATCCACCCCCAACCATTTGTCGTCAAAGCCCATGTGTCGCATGATCTCAATCATCGACGAGTGTTTTTATTTTTTTTACAACTATCGGTTGTGCAGCAAACGTGCCCAGCATTTGTGAGTTGTAACGTTTTTAATATACTTGAGCCCGGCATTCCGAGGAAGCTGGTTGTTTACTCTTCGCACTTTTAACAACAAATTAGTGAATAAAGTCCTTAATTAACATATGTTGTCAGAGCTTACATTTAGCCTAACTACGGCATTGAATATCATTGTTCGGCCAGGAATCATCAGCGTTGTATTGGCATACCTTTGGAAGGTCCGGCACTGAATACGTCCTTCGTTTGCAAGCTTGGGGATTGACGTCTTGTTGACCAGGCAAGCCCTTTCGTTTAGCCGAAGAAATCGACATACCTAGGATAAGACACATCATCCATGGTCATGAATAGTGCAGACATGAACATAAGAAAACAACAAACTAGTAGTGCTTCAGTATGTACATTGGTCGTCTCGTTTCAAACAGTAATGTTGTGTCACTAATTTGGTCAGTGCAAATT